GTCCACGGTGAATCTGTGGCCTCTGTGGATTTCTTTCTTTCTGTGTGTTATCAAAGCTGGGCCACAACAATTACGAATGTGTTAAAAACTGCATCGTCGATCATATTTTAATGAATTTTCTCATCAATATGCGAGAACCTGAAGCAGTGCGCGTTCCCGCGACAGGGGGCGCGGTTTTCTGCATGGCTGCGTGTCTCAGCATAACACCTGCTGTGTGCGCATGCACAGTGGTAGTTCTGCAGAGATTCTCTGTTCCTGGTTTCAGTTGACAGCTGTTTTATAGGTAGATCAACTCCAGCAGGACACCGAGCGGTAAAGTCACAGCTTTGTTAGAATCGGTCCTTTGTATGTGGAGTTTAAGAGGCATTCAGGTGAATTTTCAGTGTTTGTTCTGGACATTCATTATAGTCACGGTTAAAAATGACTAAAGTCTCTGATGGCTGCTTACTGACTGTTTATATCCGCTTCTGTCCAGCTTTAGATACAAAGTGATTCATGTTATAATTTAGACCTACTGTACAAACCTGGATCTTATTGCTGTTAAGGAGTTGTTGTTGTTTTTAGGTCCTAATAAAGTTGTATTGCTTTAGGAAAGTCATTTATATAATCCAAATATGGTGGATTCATATTATAATGCATAGGCACTGATTACTTTTTTGATTTTATTTAATGTATTGTTGTAAAGCCATTATTCTGTTTCCTAGGTCATCTATTTTCTTTTTAAGACACACCTTAAAAGGCAACTACGGAAGAGGATTAGGGCCACTGGAAAAAAAAAAAAAAAAAGTAAACTGATTTTTAAGTTTTATTTCAGTTTAACATGGGAAAAAAAGTCAGAATTCTGACATTAAAGTCAGAATTCTGACATTTTCCCCATACTATACTGAAATAAAAAAAAAAAAAACAGTTAACTTTTTTTTTTTTTTTCCAGTGGCCCTAATCCTCTTCCGTAGGCAACAGCAGGCGTGATCAATAGAAAGAATGCAGAGGAGCAGCTGCTGAACTAAATGCTGTCTAAGGTTCAGGGAGCTTTCCAGGAGTGGTTCTTTTCTTATCACCTTTGTCCCCATGAAGCAACCTAAAGTTCTTAGCTTTTTAGCACTTTTTATCCAGAAATCTAATTGTATTTTCTGGGATTTTTGTGAGCCAAAAAATTATGCAGGACTTTCAGATATTTTTTTTTTAAATATTACATTTTTGTATTTTTCACGCCTTTGATCAGTTAAACATTTAATTTATTCTTAGTAAGCAATCTTGGATACGTGTCTTTATATATATATTCCTTTCATTGTGTGAATCCAAATGCTTTCACTTCCCTTTCTCTCTGCTGCTCTAATGGATCTAGTTCTTCATTTAGGGACAATAAAACCCAAATACTTTGTAAGGACATTTCTAGTTGCAAGTCTCCACTGGTATATCAATGATCAGCTTTGGACAAAATAATATGGAAACATTTCAAATTAAGTTAATGAAGAAGGAGTGTCTAAAACCAACTTTAGAAGCATTTAATCAGAGGGAAAAGGCTCTCTGGTGAAACTATCTGTCTATTAAGCAAATAATAGATTTTTTTCCCCCATGTCATAGAAAGGGTTCCTCTATTGACCACCGGCTACAGGAGATTAAGTAATCACAGGAGTATTTAACAGAATTTCTAGAAGAACCTGTATAGCAGGGTTGACTGATTAAAAATCAGTAGAGTCCAAAAAAAAAGAAAACAACCAGTAAAGGTCTGGAGATATTTTTAATTAAAATCCATTACTTTGAACAGCATTTAACACTGAAATAAAATGAGGTGTTTATGCATCCATGCTATACTTTGATTTTTTTTTATAAAAAACAAAAGGGAAAAAAACATTTTTCCATTTTTAAATCTAAACTGCTTTTTTAAACAATCCTTCACAAGTCGGCATGTAAATGATTTCCTGACTTTTATATCTTTTATAAAACACCTGAACTGACCTTTTGTTTTAATCTTTCCTTCCTTTTTTTCTGGCTTAATGAGAGCAGTGGGCTTTATGCTGCCCTGCAAGGATATAAACCTGGGTTTAAATGGAGACAAATTCATTCTAAAGCACATATCAAGGTGCTCATTTGGAGCCTGGATCCATATTTATTTTTTAGTATATTCATGATGGAGAATCCTGCTATCACCGCAGTTCTTTCAGCAGTCCACACTTTCTCTGCTCTCTTTTTCTCATCATCTTCTCCTTCTTTCCCATCACCCGGCTTGCCACAGGTTTGCCTGCTGTGTCTGAAAGTAGCAGCAGCAGCAACCCAGACTGACAGCAGCTCATTGCCTGATTAGTATCACGTGTAGCCTGGTGCTGGACGCTCCACAGGGCTTTACCGTACAAGCAGGAGAAGTGGTGCAAGTGAAATTAGATACTGTTGTCAGACAACATGCTGTAATTTATAAATGTTTTAGATCAGGTTGGGTCCAGATTAGCCTGCAGGTGGGTCTGTATCTGCACCGCGGTCCGCTAATCTGTGACCTCTGCTATATAGAAATGAACCTGGCTGGTTCAGAGATTTTCCCATGTATTCTCTCCAAGGCAGTTTTACTTTTTGACCATGCAGTGGTGGTTTCGTTTTTTTCTTATTTTCTTCATGAAGCCACTAAACAAAAAAAAAAGAACAAAAAAACAGGGCGACCATTAATTGTTTTAAACAATGAGCCAAAGAGCCACTTGCACCCCTCTGTGCAGCCCCCCCTACATTGGTTGTTGTTCTGAACAATTTTGCAAAAAAAAAAGTTGCAATTTTTATTTATTTATTTTTTTTTTAACTGATATTGCAGTTGGGATTTTATTTTGTGCCTCATTTTGCATTATTATATGGCAAAATGCAATTAATTGCCCAGCTCTTATTGCTTTTAGGGCAAACTTTGAAGTAGACTTTTTGTGTTCATCTTAAAACTTTCAAAAACCAGATCTGATTAAAATACAACAAATAAAAGTGAAATGTGGAGAGGCTTATGTGTCTGATCTTTTCTTATAGAATAAACATCAACCTCTTAGCTGCTTCTCCGTTAAGGTGGTCTGAATACATGTACTGTATGTTCTTCTCTCCACAGACATGAGGTCGCTGACCTTGGAAAAGATGGATGTGGCCTCAGGAGAGCAGCAACATCTGCCCACATGTGGAAGCAGTCTGACCTCCAACTACTGTCCGCCAAGTTTGGAGAATAAGATTTTAATGCAGGCCTCAGCAACAAATCCCCAACCCTGGTCCTCGCTCTTTCCTACGCAACCTTCCTCCCATTCTTCTCTTCAGCCAACCAGTCTGTCCTCCACCTCCTCCTTTCTTCTCTCCTCCTCTTGCTCAGCTGATTCCCCCCTCCTCAGCACCCACAACAAACTCCTAACAACTAGTTCTAGCCTTACTCCTTCCTTGACCTCCACTGTTCCCTCAAACCCTTTGGTCTTCTCAACACTGACCGGGAACCTTCAGGTCTCTGGTTCTTATTCATTCCTGAAGAGCAATCTGAGTGGAGAAAAGAAGATTGATGAAGAAGCAGAGGATGAGGATGATGAGGAAATCTCAGAGGATATGCAATCCTCTTTTGAGGAAACAAGCGTGGTACAAACACCTGTCTTTCTTATTTGCTTTTCAAATCAAATGTTTACATACGTTTAGACAAACAAGCTTAGATGAAATCTTTTGAGTTTTATGTCAAACTCGACACCAAAGAGGATTTATATTTGCTAAATGCCAGAATAATGAGGAAAAAAGTTATTAAAATCAGACGTTTACATACATTTTCCTTTAGTTCTCTGTATAATTACCTTTAGGGCTGTCAAATGTTTTGAGTTTACAGAGCATCAGAGCTGCTACATCAGAGGTCGGCTCTTAGGCCCCTCCCCCATAAACACCTCTTGCTTTAAGTCCATGCATTTTCTAATAGACTGAGATCAGGCATTTCTGATGACAACCCAAAATTACTGGCTTTGTTCTCCTGAAGTCCGTTTAGAAAGATTTATTGGTGCTCAAGATTTAACTTTCTGTCAGATATCTTGAAATATTTCCTGAATATTACCAACTAAAGCTCTTTTTTTTAAAGATGTCATACAGCCTGGGGAAAGAAATGAGTCCTTCCTGCATAAAACAACCCCGGGTCATGATGCTAACTCCGCCGTTCTTTAGATTCAGTTGTTATAAAAATTCTTCTTACACCTTCTAAAACCACAGGACATGTGTGGAGAAATGAAGGTCTTTGAACCTGCCTGCTAACTGTAGTCTGGGTTTATATTTTATGTGGACTAATGGCTTCTTGCTCTCTGAGTGGGTTTTTCTGCCTTTTACCGGAACGTGACGCGTTTCACTGTGAATTAAAGTAGTTTTAGCTCCATCTTTGACCAGAAGGGTGGGACAACTTCACCTTCGGGACTCTCTTTCTGTGATCAAACTTCAAATGTGGTAAATTAACTAATGCTGAAACATCTAATCGGATTAATTGATTATTAAAATAATTCTCAACTAATTTAGTAATCAATTAATTGTTAACTGGAGTATAGCGACTCTAAAACATGCCTTTAGCTGACAGAGCGACCCACTTAGGGCAGCAATTCTACTGTAATTTAAATATATATATATACATTTTTGCATTTAAGATGTAGAAAAACTTTTCTCCTGTAAATATGCTCTATCCAGAACTCCTCAAGTGGAAATATTTTAGTTTCACTTGGTTTAAAACCTTCTTTAAGGAACCTTTTGCTATTTGATTATAAATCAATTAATTATTAAAAAAATCAACAGATTAATCAATTAGCAAAATAACCGTTAGTAGCAGCCCTAGCATTAATAATTCACCCATTAGTCTGAAGTTGACATCATTTGGGCTCTCTCAAATTATTTAAAGGCCAAGTTATCTGAGCAAATGTAAACGTCTGACTTTAAAGAAACAAATTAATAAAAATTCCCCTTTTATTCTGTTATCTAACAATTGGAATCTATCTCAGTAATCCTGACTAAAAAGTGTTTGTTTAGTTTAAACTGCAGAATAAGCTCTAAAAAAATAATAGTTAAGCATCTCCATGACAGCCGTTCTTAATTCATCTGCTGGTGCATTTTGTGACTGACTGCTGCAGCTGGATGAAGACCAGATGTCTGAAGAGGACGGCGGTGGAGGAGACGCTGAGACCGCCGCAGAGTTACCGGTCATCGACATGGAGTGGAGGGACCATGAGGGCGATGACGCTGGGATGATCAAGCAGGAGGAATTTGCAGAGCTAGATGGAGGAACCCAAAGTGCTTTGGAAGACTTGAAAGATAAAAAGGTTTTACTTCTTAATCTGCATTCTGTAAGAACATAAATGATGTCAGATTTTTACTCCTGGATGCTGATTGTTGTCCTTTCTGTCCCTCAGTACCTTCTGTTGAACGCAGTCTGCTGCTCTCTGGTTAATAAGAGCAAAGCTCCTGGCCAGCAGGACTGGGACTCAGAGAACAGTGTTTGGACCAGAATCACTGATCTGGCCAAGGACATCTCTGTTGGTGACCCACAGTTTCTTCTTAAGGTGCGTTTGCTGGTGTAACGTCTGTTTAATGGACTTTCTGTGCACATTCTGTTCAGTTTTGGTTCATCTTTTCTAATAGACACTAAACCCATGATTGCTTTGTCTGTCATGAAAATAAATCAAAAAAAGATCGAGGAGAAAAACGTCCTTGTGCGTTATCTCTTATGCTGCTTCAGTTCTAATTGGTAATCTATACATTTATCTGTCTATAAATTACCTGAATGTTCAGGTAAGGCCCTGAATGTTCTGTAATAAATACAATTCAAACTTTGCAAATGTTTACAAACATGTAGAAGGAATCATTTTAGCCATAAAAAATAAACGGAAAAGGCAATGGGAGCAAGATTATTTTAAAAACAAAGTGTTTTACAAATCTGTTTTTTTTTTTCTTTTTATTTTGAAGAAGGAAAATTTACTACAAACACTATGAAAAGCAATGTTTGCTTCCTAACATTTTTTATTTAATCTTTTTTTTTTTTTTTTGCTTTTTTTTAATGGTTATCCTCATTTTTAAGGTCTAAAAGATTATCCAAAAATCAACCAACTGGATTCTGTGTTTAAAAAGGAAAGAATTGAATACGATTATTTTATTTTATTCTTCCACAGTCATGGCTAGTGATGGGTTAATCAGGCATCTTGAAGCATTTTGACTCATTGAAAAAACTGAATTGATGCTGCATTGATACTGTCTCACAGAATACTGACACCTGCTGGACATTTAAAGACACTACAAGCAGCTTATTGGACAGACTAAACTGAATTAATATGATGACCTAATATAATGATATAATTTAAGTTATTTTAGGTTATATTGTATTATTTCATATCTGTTTAAATTGAAAATATCTTTGATATTTTTAGATGTAGCCTATAAATAATGTCATAAGGTGAACATTTAGGGGAAAATGTAAATCAGAATGCTTATATACTAGGATTTTAAATCAAACAAACAAACGAGTCCATTTTTAAACTGTGAGGAGTAGAAAGTAGAGATCTGTGCATAAAAATGTGAGTAGGAGTAAAAAGTATCTAAAAAAAAAAAAAAAAAGCCATTTGTGTCATTCAAAAACGGAGTTCTTGTAAAATAAAGTATCTAAAAAAAAAAAAAAAAAGCCAAACAGCCTATCTATTCAGACACCTTTTTGGAAAAACATACTTTTTGGGGTTTTTCTATTAGCAATAAATTGAGTACAATTACCTTTATTTTATGTTCATAAACACAGATTATTTAATAAAAACAAATAACTGGATTAACAACAAAAAGTGTCATGAGGTTTATAATACATTTAATCACATATAACATCTGTTTTCTCCTTGTTGTCTGTCCAGGTTGCAGTTTACAGCCGACAGGAGTTAAACATCCGAATCACTACAAACTTCCTATTGGCTCTGGCTGCCAGTCTGAACTCCACCAAGCCTCATGTTCGCAGATATTTCTGTGCTGCAGTGCAGCTCCCCTCTGACTGGCTGGAAGTGGTCAGAATCTACACTACGGTAAGCCTGAGTCATCATCAACTTCTCCATATTTTTATTTTCCTTTAAAGTAACTGATTATCCTCCTTCAGTGCTTCAGCCCCAGCCTGCCGACGTGTCTGAAGAAGGCCATGGTCGACAAGTTTAAGCAGTTCAATGAGTACCAGCTGGCCAAATACAACACACGCAAACACCGCTGTAAACACAACCGGCAGAAACCAAAACGAAAGGTAAAAAAAAAGGCTTTAATGGAGCAAACTATGATGGTATTTTAAAGGTTTAGTGTCTGATGCTGGTTGAAATGCTGATGGAAACATAACAATCTCTTGTTTCTGTGAATTAGCGCTGGGCTTTCCTAAAGGTAACCTTATTTCTAATTTTGCAGAAACCAACTTCTGCAGATTTTAAACAATGGGCTAAATTCCTCAATTCTGAACCAGAAGTTCTGAAGAAATATGTAAGTTTTTACTTCTGTTTGTTTACAACAGTTGATGTTTTTCTCCTTCAGCAACGATTTAACAAAGCTTTTACTTTGAAATTAAATGACGCAGGCTGATTTTCTTGCAAAAGTACATCAGATATTTAAATCCTTGAGAGAAAATATCTCCAATGTTTTATGGTAACTACTGCAGCTGTTTAAAGACTGAAGGCCAGAAAACACAGTTTTTGTCCGTTCTGACAGGAAATCTATTGGGACCAGATTGTGGCGTTCATTGAAAAGTCAATGGCGATGATCACACCTGGCACGATTTTACTGAAATAGACCCCATGTCTGCAGCAATTCAGCTGCAATTTCAATGGGTCTGACAGGAAGAGAGACGCTGTTACAAAGTAAAATACATCTGCTTTTGGAGGAAAATAAAAGATATAATCTGTTAATCGCACAGGGAGAGAGAGTTATGCATTGCATACATAGCAAGTGGGACAGATTTTGGCAAAAACAATGAATGATACATTAAAAAAGAAAACTTTACCCATTATACGAGTTCAGGAGAACAGACAACTGGTAAAGTAGTGTTCCTCTTTGAGCCTCACAAAAACGATGGACTGAAAGAGCAGTTTATCAACAAAAAAAATATAACGTCAGGCGAAAAAAAGTGGATATAGTAAAATGATCCTCTTTAGTCTCACAAGAAACAAAATAACAAGGGGCAGACAGAGCAGGTAAACGTGGTTTATCTCTCTTACCTCTTTATGGAAAAAAAAAAAAAGAAAAACTCAGATAAACTTCGCAGATCTCTCTGAGAATCACCTCTCTGCCTCAGTCAGCATATAAACCCTCCCACTGCATTTATTGCTGTTTTTCTTTTCTTTAGACGTAGATCTCATTATCTATCTATTCTGGTTTGAGATGCTGCACAGACTCGTTGAATGGGGCTTAGTTTTATATTTTTATATAACTTTTCACACTCTGTTCAATTCAAATGTGGGAAATTGTTTTAATTTTGCGTAGCACAGAGACAGAAGTGGAAAACATCAGCACAGATCTGCCCACCCTGCCTAGTCGGGGCCTCTCTATATGCAGTCAGTGTGACATGGAATAAAATCGTATAGGAGATTTTAAGTCGTGTTCAGGCCCTAACAGCTGTTTATCTGTGCTCAGCTCCAGGTGGAGGATGGCAGAGTGGTGGTGGATAAAAAACAGGGCGAGTTCAGCCTGAAGAAGCTGATCAAGAAGCTTCACATTAAGGAGCCTGCTGACCTTGTTATGGCCATTCTTGGAAAAAAGTAAGACACATACATCGGGATGTTTTTTAAACCCAGAGGGTGCAAAGATTTAGCACAGCTCAGCTATTGAAATTTAGCTATGGTTGGATTTTTTTATACTTTAAGTGGGATATGAATGAAAAAAATGTTAGGAAAAGATTTTAAGTTATGTGAGAAATGATTGTTTATTATTATTGGTTTAAAAAAATGCAATAACTATAATTCATATCCCACTTAAACCCTACGGTTCAGTCGTACAGTGTGAGCAGTTGCTGCGTGCAACGACTGAAAAAATCGAACAGTGTACGCCCGGCTTAAACAAGCCCAAACTCAAAACTAATCTTTTTATGAATACAAGCAAATGTCTTAAGTAAGGATTTTATTTTATTTTGTCCCCCTTTTAAACATCAAGTTGCTGAAATGGTGATTTAATTTGTAGCAAACACTCTAACCAGGGTGTTGGACTTTGTGCAGGTATCCCAGTGATGCGAAGGCGTTCATCCACAGCGGGATAAAGGGTGTGTGGGACCCAGACAGAGCCGGACAGCGGATGAAGCTCAAAGAGCCTCAGACGTGGGAACGACTGCTCAGTATGGAGGGCAACAAGGCCGCCACCTGGCAGAAGCTCATAGGTCAGAAATCAACGACGAGGGGTAGCAACCATGAGCATGGGGGGGAAAGTTATGTTTTACCTTTAATATTTCTCTGTGTGGTGAAGGATAACTTTGTTTCTGTTTAGACAGCAGATCTCTTCCCTTCATGGCCATGTTGAGGAACCTAAGGAACATGATCACTAAGGGAATCAGTGAGGCTCATCACAAAAAGATCCTCAGCAGGCTGACCAATAAGGTTCAACGTGCTCTAATGTCATGTTCCTCCTGCAAATCAAAACTGTTCTTTAGTTTCTGCTATGTTCTCTAACGTCTGTTCTTTTAACGTCCTTCCAGAATGCAATCATTCAGAGCCGACAGTTTCCTTTCAGATTCCTCGCAGCTTACAAAGTTATCATGGAGCTTCGCGCTTTAGGTAAGAGGCATCCACAATATCAAAGTCTTAAAGGTACAGTTGGTAATAATTACAGGGATTTACTGACAGAAATCATATATATAATCTATAATATGTTTGCTATTTACTGTCACCTTTGAAGTGAAAATCTCTGAGCTTTGCAGCTCAACAGAGCTGCTCGGAGGCAGCCTCTTCTTTTAGCCTTCTTGGCCTATTTATTCTCAGGCTTCACAGCAGAGCATTTGCTCAATATACCTAACGGGAGGTAGAGTGAAGGAAACAGAAACGTCTGTCTCACAGCGACACTGTGGTGAAAATCAGACACTGCACACAAACTGATTATTTTAATAGTCTCAATCTGTGCCTTAGAAATAGCTTTTTATAATCACATAGGAGTGGGTTTTGCATTTGTGGAGGCAGACATCTCTTGCGCTATGGCAGCACAGAGCTAATAAACTAGTGACTATAGAGATCTCTGTTACATTTTGAATTAAAAAAGCTTCCTGGATGGGAATCGAAATGTCTTCAAACTTGGAAACTGTCGGGTTCATAAAATGTAGGTTTTTGCAAAAGAAGAACTGAAATACACAATTATGGATCCAATTTCTGCAGAAAGGCGAAACAGTTGAACCCCAGACTCAAACACACTGTCTCCCACTGGACCTCCTCTGCAGAGTGTTTATTAACAGAACATGACGCATGGTTACAAACAGATTATTGTTCTGACAGAACAATTGATCAGTTCATGAAGACAGAATGCTCCATCAGAATGACAAGGCAGGATGGTCTCCTGACTGGATCATGACACAGGAGTGGAGCATCCCCTCGCACAAATGTTTCATAAACACACATTTATTTTATAATCATCATTGAAAAACCTAACAGAAACAAAGTCCTTTGGATTGACTTTTAACTCTTTTGGAGGATCTCCGTTACGCTCAGCACAGTGCTCCTAGCATCATCCTCTGTGTATTTTTCTTCTTCAAATGGTAGAGGTGGGCAGATCGATCCTAGGATCGAAACTATCAATACCAACTTTGCTATTGAACAATATGTAGCTTTGCTGCTCCCCCCTCCCCTCTCGTCACCGGCTCAGCACGCAGGCTCAGCATGGCCCCGCCCATTCAGCTCTCTCTCCACTCAGCACATTCAACTGCACTGCTGCTCTGCAGAGGAGCATAAAAACATGAAGAGGGAAAGAAGCGGCGTTCGACTATATTTGAATAATGTAAATGTAACAATGGCAAGCTGTATGGTTTGTGAAAGCCGATTAAATGCAGTGGAAACACAACAAGTTTATATAAGCACATGAAAAACCAACACGAGCAAGAAAACGTCGAGGTACAGAAAGAGAGAGAGGAGACGAAACTTCACTTATTGCCTCAATAAATATATAAATACATAAAACTTAAATGTTAAAAAAGTATCAGTATCGTATCGATATCAGGGATACTGACCCTGAATTTAGTTTGTATCGTATCGATTAAAAATTCCCGGTATCGCCCAACTCTTTCAAGTGGATAAAAATTCTTTACACTTTTGACCTAAAATGCTGTCAGGTTCCTTTAAGACAGTTTCATTGAAGTATTTTAGCATCTTAATTCAAACCCCATCATCCAAGTCAGTAGAACAAAGGCTTTACTCAAAACAACAGAGAGGGTTTTAGATACACATGCTGGACCAGGGATGACTAACTCCTGTTAGCGGGTTTTCCATAAGGGCAGCCAGCACATAGCATCGATACATACCAAGTGCTGTATATATCGACCTGGAAAATCATTTCACATATCTTTAAATCAAGCTAATATTTGGGTCAAATGCTGCATCATTTGAAGCCTTTTTAGTCGAAGTTCTCGTTAA